AACACATTGGTCACACACCTCAAAAGCCAGTCTTGCTACTAAAATATTGTTATAGATCCCTACAAGTATTACACCAAATCTTTCTAAATAAACGTTATATCTGTTTGATATGCCAAAATTACATAGGAACCATGGCACACATATACAGTAGTGGGAGTCCTTCAGATTCTATCCCTTTTTATGAACTAATCTTCAAAAATGTATAACAAAATTAAGATAAAAAGGATATCAAACACTTCCAAAACAACCGTACTGTTAATTGCCCCTGAAGCCATCTATAGAACATTTTTTTTGAAAATGCTCCTATCTGCAGCTGATGCACAACGCTGTTACAGAATGGCTATGCCAAATTATGTGAATGGAGGAGAGACCTAAAGACATGTAAGCCCTAATTCCTTTATTGCTAAATTGACCCCCTGGACACAGGTATGTAATCGCAAGAGTTTAAACCCGGACATGAACCCTTACACAAAACAAAACAAAACAGAACAACCCCTGATGAAGTCACGTGACAGTGACGCAACATTTAGGGCAAACAGAGGCAGACGTGAACCGGAAGCGATGTCATGTGGAAGCACTTATTGAGATCGCAACAATAGAAGTGATGGTTTATCTTGTGAATTGTAAGTACAATACTTTATTTTAATAAACACTAAAATTTTGCGCAAGGGCAAGGTGAAGGCAACAGTATGAATGCATAAGAGGTTTAAAAGCACCATTCTTCCCTTCCATTTTGGTTTTATGTAAAAAAGGAGTGAAAAGCCCCTAGTAGTCTGGAGGAGAAGGAGGCAGAAGGAGCTGGTGGGATCTGGATGACATGTTATATACACACACGATGATACAAATTTGGAGGTGAGTGTTTTGTAAGCACAGAGGTGGCACTGTCTTGTGCAAAGTCAACAAGGAGCATGTATATTTTGGTGTTTGATGTTCACGCACTTATATGTGGACTTTATGAACTGACACATTTATATATTTGTACAAGTTGAAATGCAATAGATATTTTTATACTTGTTTATATTGTATGATAATTTAGTTATGTGCAAGCATCACAAACAATTAGGATATTAGCAGCGCAGCATCATCCACCAGATAATACACTTCACTTAATGCTAGCACCAGCAATAGTCATTTAAAAAGATACACACCTATTCTATATCACATTTATTGTATAGCATAATCACTTAGTTTTAAGTAGTGCAGGAGTTTCACTATATAATCTAGTAAAATAAGTATTTGACCACCAAGCAAAACATGACCTAGTACTAGTGGAAGAACCCTTGTTGGCAAGCACAAGGGAAGACGTTTGTTGTAGTTGGTTACTAGGTTTGCACACATCTCAGGAGGGATTGTGAACCACTGTTCTTTACAGATCTTCTCTAAATCCTTAAGGTTTCTTGGCTGTTGCTTGGCAACTCAAAGTTTCAGCTCCCTCCATAAATTTTCTATAGGATTAGAGTCTAGAGACTGGCTAGGCCACTCCGTGACCTTAATGTGCTTCTTCTTGAGCCACGCCTTCGTTTCCTTGGTGGTATGTTTTGGGTCATTGTCATGCTGGAAGACCCATCCACGACCCATCTTCAGTGTCCTGGCTGAGGGAAGAAGGTTCTTATCCAATATTTCATAATACATGGACCATGTCCATTGGCCCCTTGATGCAGCAAAGTCGGCCTGTACCTTTAGCAGAGAAACAGCCCCAAAGCATAATGTTTCCACCTCCGTGCTTGACTGTAGGGATGGTGTTCTTAGGATCAAAGTCAGCATTTTTCTTCCTCCAAACACAACGAGTCACGGTAATGCCAAAGAACTCAATTTTGGTCTCACCTGACCACAGCACTTTCTCTCAATCCTTCTCTGAACCATTTAGATGTTCATTGGCAAACTTCAGATGGCCCTGTACATGTGCCTTGTTGAGAAGGTAGACCTTGCAGGTGCTTCAGGATTTCAATCCATGGTGGCGTATTGTGTTTCCAATGGTTTGCTTGGTGACTGTAGTCCCAACTGCCTTAAGATTATTCACAAGCACCTCCTGTGTAGTTCTGGGCCGATTCCTCATTTTTCTCATGATCATCCTTACCCCATGAGGCAAAATCTTGCATGGAGCTCCAGACTGAGGGTGATTGATGGTTATTTTGTATTTCTTCCATTTGCGAATAAATGCTCCATCAGTTGTATCAAGCTCCAAGCTTCTTGCTGATGGTCTTGTAGCACATTCCAGTCTTGTACAGGTCTACAATCTTGTCCCTGATGTCCTTTGACAGCTCTTTGACCTTGCCCATGGTGGTGCCCATGAAAGAGATTCTGTGGACAGGTGTCTTTAAACATAACATGTTATGTTTAACATAACGAGTTGTCATTAGGAGCACCTTCTTAAACTGACAGGACTAATCTGTGTACCACATGAGCACATAGTCAGTCTGTGGGAGCCAGAATTATTGTTGGTTGGTAGGGGAACAAATACTTATTTTACTCGCTGAACTGGAACTAGATTTATAACATTTGTATCGTGTTTTTTTCTGGATTTTGGTTGATATTCTATATCTATCATTTAAAATACACATATGATAAAAAGTTATAGACCCTTCATTTCTTTGTAAGTGAACAAACTTACAAAATCTGCAAGGTATCAAATAATTATTTTCCCCTCTGTACATTGGTGGCTGTCCGATTTCTCTGCTGTTACGTGAAAGCATATAACCAGATATGGGTTACCTGTGTGACTAAACTATTAGAGGTGATTTCCCCACCTCCTGTTGTGTCTCTGGAATGAGGGAAAAATCTGACCAGTAGGGACACAAACATTAACAAAAATCTTACAGACATTACCAATCCTTCCTCACTCTCTATTTAAAAGTATATAAAAGTTTTGGTCACAGATTCAGTTCACGTGAAAAAGACGTCCCTGCCTGAAAGGAGCTTACAATCTAATCTACCTACTACAGCATACAAATAGCTGAAGAACCTACCAGTGCATTTTGACTGGTGAGAGTAAGCCAGGACATGCAAAGGAAACCCAAATGAACATTGTGCAAAGAGTTTCTCACCATTCCATGAATAATTTTTGTCATACATTAGAGAGAACGTTACAGGGGAAGTTACACTCCATGACAGGAAGCAGGGAAGGATCCAGAAATTCCTTGGAGTGGAACGATCTTGTTTCTGGAGTCCATAGGACGTATAAGATGCTGAGATGCGACTCAGGCCAGTGTTCAAGCATATTTAAAATATTAAGTTTATGTGGTCCATGATCATTTCCTCCTATTTTTTGGGAGACGGAATTTTATTCCAATTTCCTAAAAAATAAAATTCCAACAGCAAACAATAAACAGATAATTAAGCTGAAGCATAAAAGTGTTGTTCATAGCTCCATACTGTGATTTCTGCACCTGCTCTATTTCCATCTACCTGGCCATGGGATACACAACATATGGTACTGTCCTTCAACTTCAGTTCCTTTTTTTTGGATTTGAAAAATGATCCTATTGCACTAGCTTCACCTCTCTAGGTGTGCATGGGTATGCTATTAATATAACCTACCTATTCATCTCCATGGGGAAGGTGGGAGCCTAGGAAGATAATTTGTTTTGTGTCAAATGCTTAAAAAAAGTAAAGGGAGAAGGGAAGAGTTGTACAAAGGGAGATCTGATACATTGTGGGAGTGTAGTCATTCTAGGATGACACTCAGAATTGATAAGCAACTGTAAGGCAGGCCACAGATGATGCGATTTTTTTTTTCCTGCAAGGAAGGGAGGGAGGGTATGGGGAACCACCCCTGCCAGGAGAACACAAGGATTACTGTTAGCAGCTATAGCCGATGCATTGACTTGGGTACAACCAGCCTGCCAAAACATGGATTGAATCTCGGCCGGTCCCTGCTGAACCAACCGAGAGTTGGCCCACCAATGGCCAGCTTTAGTTTTATCAAGTTCGGTGAAGACAAAATAAACGACAGTGAGAAAAGTATTCCTGCATCCTTTATAGGTTATTAGAGGAACACAGCACTGACTACCAGAGACGCAGAGTTCATTGCATGTGACCACAGTGCCCAAAACACTTATTTCAATTTCCCCAGGGGACTTCTCAGAGATTGGAACATGGTGGGACTAAGTTCGTGGAAACAGCTCTCCCAGCCCAAGTTGGATGAACCACACAAGGGGCTGGATTCTTGTTCTGTGTTCTGTGTTCTTGTAAATAGTCTACTGAAATAGTATTCACAGGTTTTAGTTAGCCATACATGGCAAGATTTTTCTTGTTGTTCAGCCTGCAGGTTGAACAAAAGAACTGCATGACGTTTTGTGAATGACCAAGGGAAGGGGGGGGGGCTTACAAATGATATTATCCCTTTTGTGTATGAGAGCCACATTTCGCATTTCTCTAGCGGTCATAAGTGCAGCGAGAGCTAAACTATATATGACGTATATACAAATAGTGGTATTGAGGGACAGAGTGGAGATCTAGCCATGGGATATACATCAAGAGAGGATGATTGTTTATATTCCCACAGTTTAAAAAAAAAAGCCTATGTCTAGGGCCCTGCTTGAATTTGCTAATTATTATACTGATTGCCTTCAAGTTATCAAAGTTTCTCTAACCTCACATCCTTCCTAATAATTTAGTTGTCAAATCTAAACTCTCTCCAAATTCCCTTTATCGTTGTTTTTAATTTGGCTCCCAATAATGCACACTTTGTTTTAGATATAATCTTACAAAGAATTTCAAAAGGAACAACAGGGTTATATTGGTTGTTTTTTTTATTGCAGCTCCTGCTTGATATTGAATGACACCACTAAGATTACGGTTGACCAAAGTTGTGAAGCCTTTCTCCAGCCAACATCATAGTCAAAAACCCCAACACAATCAGTAACAAAGACAGAGAAACACAAAGACCTCTTGCTTTTGCAATGTGCACTTTATTTCAGATTTGAGTTTCACAGTTATGCACTGGGCAAATTGCGGTAGGTGGTACACCAAAACTTGACATAAGGAGACCTTAGATCTTGTTTCATGGACTTATAATTGATTTTTTTGTTGATCTCCAGATACATCCCATACTGAGTGTTGTAATTCAACCAAGCTGTGGGGACTTTAGAGTTTCCTTTGCTGGGATCTCTGTCAAAATGGTAAAGTTGAGAGTCAGGACCCATTCACATTTGAACATTTTGCAGTTCAAAGCTCAAAAACGCTCAACAATTAAAAACCCTCAAGTACAAGTGGAGCATGAGTTTTATGCTTTTGTAGGTAAACCTATTTACAAATGTGTAAATGTGTTTGTCTGAGGGTTGTGACAACTATGTTTTTTGGCTCTGCAAACATAACAGAAGAATGAAGCTAAAGAATAAAGTGATGAAGATTTCAGACGTGATAAAAGCAGGCATTGTGCATTGCCTTGACTGGATATCATGTAAACTGATTTCTTAGGTGGGACCTCCCACTGTGTAGATGTTGGTATATCTTGGTAATCCGCCAGCCTAAAATCTGAGTCTGCAGGATCAGAACTATAAGCTTTCCTATTAAGTATGAAACCTGAGCCATTATCTTAGAGCAGCAGTTGAAAGCCATTTTTGCCACAGCAAACCAATAAAGTCAGTCAGGTTATTTTTAGTGAGGGGTGGGGATGGTGTCTACATGTCAGATTTTAAGTGGAAATAAAGCAAAATGAAAACAGTGGACATCCAAATGAGAGCCACTAATTGTTGCTCTTTTCCTGGCTAGCAATACTTTTAAACAACCTAAGTCTAACAGCCCTCCTTTGCCCTTCTCATACAATCTATACCTTCTTGTACATATCACCGATCAGTAGATGACCAAAACTGGAACCTCTGCCTATGCCAAACCATACAGTACTGGACATGAGCAACAAGTTATCTAAAGGCTCTTCTGGATAAACCATCTTCCTGCAGGCTTTCAAAAAGATGGCTATTCCATTAGGGCCTATAGAAAAAAAGCTGCAATGCCCCATCAGCGCAAAAGAGGACGAGAAAACTGCCTGGCCTGGCGTAGTTTGCAGCTCCTAAACCGGTCTGATTTACAAGGCAAATTTCAAGGGTGTAGACCTAGTTTGAGGGGCTGGCTTAGATTGTTTAGGTTGTATAGCTATGTACATTTTGTTAATAAACTGCTTAATGATTAAATCCATCCGGACTTTTAAAAGAACTCTGTCGTGAAGCAAAACACAAGACACAGATGGGAGCAGCTTTTTCCTGACTCAAGTTCCACATACTAGTTCATAGCCTAATCATAGAGGTGAATTACTTCACAACAGAGTCATATCGCCATCTGAGAGAAAACCAGCTGTGTTTTTAAATGTCACCCTTGTTGTACAAGAAGAAAACTAGCTTACCCAGTCGCAGCAAAGTTGCTCCAGTAAGCCATCATGGCTTCAGAGACATCACGGTCTTGTGGCCTGTAAGCGACGGTGTTCCTGAATGGTTTACCAAACATAAACTGCAGGTCCTCAGCATGATCGGCTCCCATCCAGCTTGGGTACACAGGCATGCGAGATGGGTGAGAAAAAACAGGTAGCTGTAGGTATTGGCATTCCTGGAATAAAACAGAAATAACTGTGAGCTAATTCCGTTACTGCTTTAGTTTCAGTCTCAAATCAAGAGAAAGTGACCATTTGCTGTGTTTCGATCTGTGCTTTTATTTTTAACCCTATATTTAAAGACATATGGAGGCTGCCAATACTGATCTGACTGAAATAGCTAGTAGCTGACCTGGAGCAAGCATGCAGCTAGTGCAGTCAGACCTCAATCCTCAGAAGAATGGGGGAAAAAGTCACTCACCAACTGTATGATTAAGCTCCAATTAGCAGTGAGCCGTGTTAGCTTTGGTTGCACCATGTGGACTTGTATGTGCTTTAGTTTGCTTTAATAAATATAACCTCAGCTTTTACACTAAAGGGCTCACCCCCTCCCTTCTTCTGAGGACTGAGGTGTTGGATTCGGAGAGTTTCACAACCGTGAAGAGCCTGCTCCTGATGCTGGGTGGCTGGAGTGCGAGAAAAAGCCTGTAGCAGCACATTATATTCTTTACACATTCGTGAAGTCAGAGCTCCTGGTCTGTGTGTTTGTTCTAGATCAGTTGGAGCAAATTACAGATCCAGAATAGGAAATGCAATCATAGGAACATAGGCAATGCTGTGTCAGATGGAAGCCTTTTCACAAATGCTGTGGAGAAGGTTTTGCTACAAGGATGGTATAGGAAGGAAGAATAAAAGGGGACGGTTATATCATGCAAAGGTAAAGAATTCATAAGGTGCTGCTGGATGGAGCTCTGCGGTTAGGCCCAATAGCCTGCTTTGTAGCCCAACATGCCCTGAAGTTGTCTTGAAGTGGCCCTGCCTGATTTGAAGGAAGCTGTGCCAAGGAGGAGACCCAGGGGAGGCCCCATGCTGGAGAGAAAGAAGGCTGGTCTCTCAAAACGGCCTGGCGGTTCATTTGCAGGATGCACTGAGTTTTTTTTTTTTAATTCTTTAAAAAAACAATATTAAAACAGCTAGCACACATCACATTACCGATTAACATCCCGAGAGGTAACCAGTCAGTAGAAGAAAAAAAGATATGAAAGGTACATCCATCATAACAGGACATATTGTATATGTATACAGGAAAATAATAAAAAGAAAGAAGCAACACATGCCTCAGTAAATGCAGTAGGCTGTGTGACATATCGAAGAGCTGCCGCAAATTAGCAAAAAACATTGAATTCTACCATATTTTGAATGCACTGAAATTTGGGAACGTGTTTACAGTGTTGCCAGGTCAGCTTAAAGGTCCTGCCACTGTAAAGCTTGACATTGATCTGGAGAGTCTATAAGTGATCTGCTAGCAAGGGTAAGCAAACTTTGGCTCTCCAGCTGTTGCAGAACTGCAAGTCGCATAAGGCACTGCAAGGCTGACAGCCATAAGCATGACTCCCAGTGGCAGAGGCATAATGGGACTTGCAGTTTCGCAACATCTGGAGGGCAGAAATTTGCCTACCCCTGTGCTTTTGTATATGGGACCCCTAACCCTCACTGTTCTGTAATAAAACTTTAATATGACAAAAGTGACTGGCACCCAATATCCTTTCTTGTCCCCCCTATTTTAGCCATGGACTGAGCTCTGGGGTGAAATGCTAGCCTGCCCCTGGCCTCTGGAGGTGCTATATTGCCTTTGAGATGTCAAAGGTATGCTACATAATCATATCCAGTTCCAGTGCTTTTCACCTAATTCCCATCTCTGGGCAATTTCATTTAAGTCGAAGGTGGAAGACAGCACAAAGGACACTGAGTAAAGATCTCACATGGGGATGATAGCTAAGCAAAGCAGAGGGGATCCGTGGCCAGAGATTGTCCTGTGGTCTGCAGCTATGGGGCTTTAGATATTCCAACCATCCCCTGCTACTTCCAGAAAGCTGCAATTGGGAGACTAGAGATAAGTTTGTCCTCCCATTGTTGCTACTGATCATTTTGGAGCATTCTGTGATCCTAAACCCCGTTCTTGTTAAAGTTTTTGAGCAATAAATACTAAAGACATCCCCTAGTCTGAGCCTGAATTGTGCGTGGCACTGTGCTTGTATGACTGGCAGCTTCTGTACTATGTACCAGTCTTTGGGAGGAATTCAAAATAAGAATAAGGTGCTACAACCTGATCACACAGCTCTCAGGCTAGAGTTTGAACATCACCGTGCCAGACTAGCAGGCTCTATCTGCTTGTGTGTAGACATCTAAATCACGAAACGTCAGCAACAAGGTGAAAGTAAAAACTTTTTCTATATTATTTCCAAGGAGTAAAATATTCCATAAAGCAACCAAAGCTAACGCGTTTCATTCGAAAAACTTTTATCTTGCTCCCAACATTTCTTGATTTGGATGTCTTCGGGGGAATGTTTTAAACCCCAGAGACTCCTGTGACTCCTCGCAATAAAACCTGCTGGGTTTACCCACAAATTTCCAGCGGCAGCCAGACATAGGAAAAAAATGCACAATTTGAAAATGTTGATGCTTTCCAAACATGCTGGCCTACCAATACCTTACATTACAATTAGCTGTCAGTACTTACTGTGCATGCATATAATGAAGAGCCAGAGCTTCCTGTGTTGGGACCAGGAAGATGTAATCTGTCTCCATGTCAACCACGGTCTTCTTCATGACCTCCTGATCTGGATTTGCTCCCCACTGGTCTGTGTAGAGTTCAAAAGCGATATCCAGTGCAGAAGTTCCTTTAGGTAGCGTCAGTCCCTGGACAAGCTTATGCACTTCATCACTGAAAAAAAGGAGTCGTTACACCGTGTACAATATCAAGGGGACTAAACCTAAAGTGAATCTAAACCCAAACATAAAATGTCCTACAAGCTGTAAAATGTTAATGTAATTTTCTGTTTCAATAATTTTTTTATTAAGTTATCCGAGTACAAAATAAAGATGACTTTGCGTGTATTACAAAGTGGCTTCATTCTCCATTATTATCTTTATCAGCAGAAAACGTGTGGCTCATTAAAGTTTATTAGAACATTATTTATTCTATGTCTCCATGGTCATATTTTGTAATGGAGACTGGTCAATGGTGGATGGGCTTAAAGGGCAGTGTGGCCTAGCCCTCCCATTAATGAGTCAATTAAATATGATTTGCCATATCAGGTATATTAAGGGAGAATGCAGAAGAACAAGAAAAATATTGAGATATTTTAGACCTTGAAATTGAGTTAGTGTCACTTTTAAGCTTTTTCAAAGTTAAAAAGTAGGCACATAGAACATGGTTTAAATCAAACGGTTGTAAGATCGATGTGAATACAACAATCCAGTTTAAATATCTCATAACAAGTCCATCCAGTGTAGGCAAGCTGAAGAGAGAGTAGAAGCTCGCTTCAAATATGCAACAGAAAAGAGAAAAACCAGCGTCTCTAAGTACAGACTATTATGTAAATTTAATAGAGAATAAGTTAGGCAACTCACATGATTAAAGACATAACAGGCTCATCATAATACCAAGGGTGACAGGACCGCCATTCCACAAGGGGTAGACGCTGAGGCACTCCAGTGTCTGTCTCTGGCATAAATGGAAGAAGCTGGCCATCACCTCTGCTGCTCGAAGCCAAACATTGGAACGCAACTGTGGACCAAGCGTCTGGCATCATGCCGTCACCAGGGGGGGTGTGCAACGCATTTCCGAGCAGGCGCTGAGTCCGTAATAGACAGGTGCTCTCCTTATTCAAGCTAATGGAGGAGGCATTAGACCAACTAATGTAGATCTATTCTAAAGACCACCCAATCTAATGCCTCTTCCATCTGTTTGATTCAGGTGCACACCTGGCAAACACGGACTTTGCGCATGCTTGGAAACGCGCTTTTCAAGCTTTTTCAGACTGCAGCTTCCATTAGAATACTTTGTGATCCTGCCATGAAGGTCCTTGCTTAGCCACATCTTACTATGGGACACCTACTATCTCCCAATTGTGCTCCTGCGCTGTCAACCTAGACCAGTAATGGGCAAACTACGGCCCGGCGGACCTTTTAATCCGGCCCGCGGAGCTAGGCTCCCGCTAGGCTCCTCTCACAGTCCGCCCTGAAGACCGGTGTAGCATGAAAATCTGTCTCCTATGAGGATCTGTCCCCCTCGACGTATCTGCGCATGTGCCGGAGATCGCCGATCGGCTGCTAATGCCTGAAACTGGCACATACGTCGAGGGGGACAGATCCTCATAGGAGACAGATTTTCATGCTACACCGGAACGGCGCGGGAACACGGCGAGAGGAACGCGCGGAGCAAAGGTAAGTGAATTGACACAGGGGGGACTTGGGGACTTAATATGGGGGATGAATTAATATGGGGAATGAATTACTATATGGGGGATGAATTACTATATGGGGGATGAATTACTATATGGGGGATGAATTACTATGGGGGATGAATTACTATATGGGGGATGAATTACTATATGGGGGATGAATTTCTATATGGGGGATGAATTACTATATGGGGATTAATTACTATGCTTATTATGGGGGAATATTACTATACTTACTATGGATGACACATACACATCATTCATCTACTCTTGGTCCGGCCCCCGGGTCCAATATATGAAGCCATTGCGGCCCTCAAGTCAAAAAGTTTGCCCACCCCTGACCTAGACCCTAGTGAAGGCTTAAAGTGACCTTCCCAACAAACATTGTGCAGGCACAGCCCGCTATTGTCACCATCAGAAGTAAATGTGTTCTACACTAGACCAAGAGCATGTAGAAAGAAAATGGCTGAAAGATCAGCAGCACTGAAATGCAACAAAGAATGAAAAAAAAAAAAAAGTCAAACAGAATTAGTTAAAAAGAAAAACTGTATACGGTTATTGTAGAGCCATTTCAGGTCCCATTCAAGTCTATGGGATGTTAAGATGGCATACCAACAATTTGTAGCTGCCTGGATAAGCATTATAGGGGCCAATTTACTAAAGTTTATCACATGCAATGTTTGTGCTTTATGTGAAATATCACATGCAATATTTAAAATGTCAGTTTACTACAGTTAAGCATCACATTTATGGTAAATACTGGCAATATTATAATTTACCTATGGTAAAAAAAAAAAAAAAAGTGATAGTACATTAAAGTCAATTAATTAAAAACAATTCTTCAAATTTTTCAAGGTCTCAACACTCGATATTTAAGAAATTTACAAAATTAGAAACAAAACATTTAGCAGCAGTATTACTACCGCTGCTAAATGTAATAGCTCCAGGTCAGGTCTGTTGGTGTCAGAGAACTGGCAACAGCCAGCATCAACCAACAACCGGTAACCCAACCAGCTCATTCACCTGTCGGCTAATGCAAGAACAATTTAATAAAAAAAAACAAAATAAGACAGCACGGGGGTCCCCCAAAACTTCATATCTGGCCCTTCTGGTATGAATTTTAAGGGGGACCCCACTGAAAAATCAAGAAAAAAAAAAGGAACTGGGTTCCCCCCAAAATTCATATTCATCATCATTCATCCTTTATCCAAGCGTGTAGTCCAGCAGGCCAAAAAAGGAGTGGGGGAGTTTGTGACTCCACCCCTCAAACCATGTCAGGCCAAATGCCTACAACATGGGGGCTACCTTGCTAAGGGAAACCCACCCTGCCCAAACACCTTGTCGCCATGTTGAAGAGGACAAGAGCCTCTTCCTCGCAACCTTGGCTCAGGAGTTTTGGGGTTCAGCAGGCAAGGGGCTTATCGGAGTCCGAAAACCCCTTTAAACAATGACGGGGGCCCCAGATACCCCAACATATGGATTGAATAAGCAGCTAAATGTCTTACATTACAGAAAAAGTCTAGTTGAATGTACTACTAGCTATATCATGACCTGGATAATTAAGAACCTTCATAGATATTATGGACACTAGAGGGAGACCCTGCATTATCTGTACTATGTATCGGATTGTCAAAAATATAGGGAAAAAAATAAGGGAAAATTTGAAAATTGCTTAAAAATACATTTAAAGCAGAACAATGTCATCATGCCATGGGTGCCAGCGCAAAGTAACTGCTGCATGCATGGTGGGAGACATGCCTTTCTGGGCCAGTCAATCAAGATGGATGAAGACTGTGGACAGTGGCAGACAAATCAGTTAACAGAAATAATATCTGGGCCCCAATGATTACGAACATAATGGCAAGTAAAATACGCATTAGAAGCTTACTGAACTGTGGGGTAAAATAATGATCTTTGAGAAGGTGTTCTTTTTATGCAAAAATTCCACACCAAAAGGATATTTATGTTTGTAAATTGAACATTATTAAGGGAAAATGATCGTGAGATAAAACAGTAAATGGAGTTAAAATAACTAATCTCAGTGAATTGATCCTAATGCCACTGTCATAACCATAGCACATTGCATTTCCACCTCACAATATACATCATCGTACCATTACAGCAGTTTAATAATGTATATAAATGAGCATAAGAACACATCATATGCATATCTATATATCACATAGCAAATTCCATCACCCAGCTGCTGCACATTATTTTATTCAGCAAGGATATAGACTACAATAGTACATGATATCACCCTTTTAGAATGCAGACTAAAATAACACATTTTATCGCCTAGCAAAACCACATTGTATTAACTAACAACATTATGCAGCCATCATTATCCGCTGCAATGTGAGGCCCCTACATCCCCATCCCCTAAAATGTAAGGAACCCTCATATACTGCCACCACCACACCCTACAATGTGACCCCCCCCCCCCCCCCCATTTAACCACCCTCTGTACCATAGGAAGCGCCCCTCAAATTCATGCAGAAATTTTAGACATCTCCTCCAATAAAGGTCCCCTGCACACAGGTGTTCAGCATAGAATCCCATATAGATTGGCAGCATTTACACAGATCACCAATAAAAAAGGGCTATTTACACTGTCAACCAATGCCTAAATTATAAGTGTGGTTAGTGTAAATACCACCATTACATTGGTCATTTTCAATTCTTTCCTTACCACAGTGTTAAGTGTAAATGCATCCCTTACATTAGTGATCAGTGTGGATTCCCCTGTTACATTAGTGATCAGTGTGGATTCCCCGTTACATTAGTGATCAGTGTGGATTCCCCGTTACATTAGTGATCAGTGTGGATTCCCCTGTTACATTAGTGATCAGTGTGGATTCTCCGTTACATTAGTGATCAGTGCGGATTCCCCGTTACATTAGTGGTCAGTGCAGATTCCCCTGTTACATTAGTGATCAGTGTGGATTCCCCTGTTATTCCAGTGTGGATTCCCGTTACATTAGTGATCAGTGTGGATTCCCCTGTTACATTAGTGATCAGTGTGGATTCCCCTGTTACATTAGTGATCAGTGTGGATTCCCCTGTTACATTAGTGATCAGTGCGGATTCCCCTGTTACATTAGTGATCAGTGTGGATTCCCCTGTTACATTAGTGTGCATCAGTGCGGATTCCCGTTACATTAGTGATCAGTGTGGATTCCCCTGTTACATTAGTGATCAGTGTGGATTCCCCTGTTACATTAGTGATCAGTGTGGATTCCCGTTACATTAGTGATCAGTGCGGATTCCCGTTACATTAGTGATCAGTGCGGATTTCCCGTTACATTAGTGGTCAGTGCGGATTCCCGTTACATTAGTGATCAGTGCGGATTCCCGTTACATTAGTGATCAGTGCGGATTCCCGTTACATTAGTGATCAGTGCGGATTCCCCATGTTACATTAGTGATCAGTGCGGATTCCCCTGTTACATTAGTGATCAGTGCGGATTCCCGTTAC